CAAATTTCCAATGATGAATGTCATTATATTGTATACCTAAATTGTACCAATAAAAAAAAAATAAAAAAAAATAAAAATGAAGGGGGGAGATGGATGCTTAGCTAAAGAAGCTTACTGGTAAAAGACGTGCATAATGGAGGTGTTAGTAAGGCAGGGCAAGATTGGTTTTGGTGGGAGAGCTGTGCTGATGCCAACTGACACAGCAGAGTGTTAACTTTCTGTAGCTCTGTAACATCCCCTCCATGCAAGACAGCCTGGCCACCCTGACCCTTCTTGGCAAGTTGGTGGATGCCATCCCTGTTCTGGCTGATGAGCTTGTGAAGGAGCATGGTGAGTGACCGATGTGAGAGAGCCTGTTTTTACACTGTCATCTGGGTGGCCCATTCACTGGGAAATCATTACTTTCCTTCCCTAGCATTCAGTTTCCCTCTATACAAGATGTGTTCAGTGTTGGTCAATTTGAAAAATGTCAGAATTTTTTATTTTTTATTTATTTTTTTGGTACCGGGGATTGAACTCTGGTCCTTGCGCTTGCAATGCAGGCGGCAGGACCACGGAGCTAAATCCCCACCCCAATGTCAGAATTTTAAAAATGTGACCTTTTAATGTGGGCTGTTTCCATTCATTCTTTTAACACAAACTAAGTGCCTACTGTGACCTTCCTTTTGCATGGAAAAATTAATTCTGAAGCATATACGTACTTTTTTCTATCAGCAAAATGCAAATAAATATCTTTTTTATCCAAGGGTAAATCATTTAACTTCTCAAAGCTTTGACTTTCTCTTGGTGAAGCCCTTAGAAAGTATTGCAGGGGTTGTAGGGAATTACCACTATGACTTCATGGAGATAATACTTTGGAGTTTGATGTTAGCATTTGACATTGTGATTGTTCTCTCTGCTCCTTGGTTGTTTTCTGGACAGGCAACTTGATAGAGCATCTGATGAGAGGCTTGGTGTACCCCAATGAAGTGGTGCAGGCTTCTGTCTGTTACCTCTATGGGAAGCTCTATGCCTCATCAGTGGCAGCTGAGTTGCTCTCAGGCCATTTCCGGGAGAAGCTACGCCCTCTCTTCCTTTCCACCCTGGACAGTGCCCAAACAAAGGAGCTACAGATCAACTGCTTGGGTGAGACTTGGGATTGAAAAGGAGAGCAAACTTTTGAGGTGTTACTTGAGTACTTTAGTACTGGCTGTTCTATTGGTCGGACCTCTCTGGAAAGGACAGAAGTCACCAGTTTGGAGCTAAGATGTACAGACTGTGAAAGATGCCTAGAGTCAAAGTGGCATTTTTTTTTTTTTTTGGTGCTGGGGATCAAACTCAGGATCTTGTACTTGTGAGGGAGGCGGCGGCACCACTGAGCTAAATTCCGGGCCCTCAAAGTGGCATCTTAAGAATGTTTCCTTTGGGAAGAAAAGAGGAAAAAAAGTGAGACAGAAGTTTTTCTGCCTTGGATCTTTACTCCCTGCCCTGGTGCATCCTATACTTGGTGCCAGGTTAATCCTCACACTGCACAGCTTATATCCTCTACACAGTTACTTTCAGCATTAGAAAAATCTTCCATGGCCTCCAGGGTAAAGTCCAGGTTTTTCTACTTATTATTCAAGGCTCTTTAGGAACCTCAATATACCACTCTTCCAGCCATTTTTTGTCCTGCTACTTCCTTGCATAAATACCCAAGCTCTATTGAATGCTTCTGAGCAGGGAGCTTTCATATTTTATTTTATTTTGGGGGGTTGGGGCTTGAGCCCAGGGCGTTATGCATGCTAAGCATGTACTCCACAGTGAGCTCTACCCCCCAACTCCAGTTTTTATATTTTAGAGCAGATGGACACTGTGATTTGTGTCTGAATGTGGGCCTGCTTTAGGGCAGAAGCTATAGAGAGAAGCATAGTAATGGGTGATAACAGCTTTTCATAATTTGGGTCAACAACAGTATTATGAACAATCGAGCCATATACTCTATAGCGAGCATTTATTCTGGACCAGGTTCTTCCCTGGGCTCTGATGTCACAAAGATGATGAGACCCAATCTCTATCCTGGGGGAGTTCACAGGCCGGCTTGAAAGGCAGTCATAGACGGTCCAGTGTGGCAAGTGCTGTCACAGAAGCACAGCAAGTGTAAAGCATCCTGAATACGTAGTATTTTGAAAGAGGGCAGTATTGGAGTTAGAACATGTTAGAGCTAAAGGTGGCAATAAGGGACCTATATTGAGGACCTGGCAAGTCTCAGAGCTTTCCTAGGAATAGCAGAGGGAAATCTTAGCTGGTGATACTGGGAATTCCCCTTTTAAATGCCATCTCTCTGGAGGGTTTCCTTCCTGCTCTTTCCCCCCAGCCAGCTCTGCAGTCACATCCTTTGAACAAGTGCTGTGAGTCTTATATTCTGTTATATATTATGTTCATTTAGCCTTTAAATCCAAGATTCTAAGCTCTTTGTGATCTAATTCTTTTTTTTCCTTTTCTTTTTTTTTTTTTGGTACCGGGGATCGAACTTGGGTCTTTGTGCTTGCGTAGCAGGCGGTGAAACCACTGAGCTAAATCCCCGGCCCCTGTGATCTAATTCTTATTGACTTCTTCTGCCTCATCTCTCAACTCTCCTTTTGTCACACTCTGTATCTAATATTTGGCCTTTCTAAACCAAGTAGTTCTCCAGACTCCAGAACACATCAGACTCTCCTGCCTTTGTATACTCTTTCTCAGCCCAGAAATTGGCTCTTTCTCCACTTTTCATCATTCAAAATTTGTTCAGATGGCTTCGCCTTTCAGAATCCTTCCCTGAGGCCTCAAATTGGATTAGATACTTTCCCTGATTTCCCACAGCTCTCTGGGCTTTTTTTTCACATTATTTAATCGTTCATTCATTCATGCATTAATTCAGTCATTTTGCAGTACCCAAGATTGAACTGAGCACCTCTTACATGGTAGGGAAGTGTTGTGCTATTGAGCTACATTCTCAGCCCTCTTTTTCACAGTATTTAGTATCACTATTTAATACTCTGACATGCAATATTTGTTTACCTGTTGGTTAAATTATGTAGACTGCTGTGCTGGGCATGGTGGTGCATGCCAGTAATCCCAGCACTTGGGAGGCTGAGGCAAGAGGTTTACTGAGAGTTCAAGGCCAGCCTGCATTATGTAGTGAGCATAGTGAGTTCAACACCAGCCAGAACTACATAGCGAGACCCTGTCTCAAAGCAAACAAACAAAAAATGCTTTAGTGTCCTCGTATGACTTCCAGAATCCCTGACATTGCTCCTATGGTCTTTCATAGTAAATTATTTCTCAGACATCATTTCTGGACCTCTCTACTTTTTATCAATTACTCTGGCTTTCTTTAGTGTCTGGACTGCTGTTCCTTCTACCTGGAATGCCTCTCCTACAACTTTTAGTATATGTGCTGCTGAAGCAAGCACGATTCTCCTACAACTTATTGATGAAACATTTTACTGATTCCCACACTAGGTTAGAGTCTCCTATATACACTCTCATGTGTCTGACTATTCCTCATTTGTGTGATTCACCAAAATTGTAAGTAGTCATTTGTGTGACTTTTTTTTTCTCTTTTTGAGACAGTGTTTTGCTATGTTTCCCAGGTTGCCCTTGAAACTCCTGGGCTGAAATGATCCTCCTGCTAGTTTCCCAAGTGGCTGGGAATATAGGCATGTGCCATAGCACTGGCTTTATATGACTTATTTTTATATCTATTTCCCCTGCAGAGTCTATGGTCCATTTTTCAGTCAAAAATTTTTGTGTGTGAGGAGCTACACCAGGTGACAAATGACGTGAAACTGACATTATCCCTGTCCTCATGAAACTTAGAGTTAGTGGCGTGGTAGGGGCTTTGCTTACTATTGAATTCCCTAGACTAGATGAAACCTTTTAGAGCTTTCAATGATACAAACATTTCACTGTGGTACACGTGCCATAGGTTTGCCACCACTGGCCTAGACCCTTAGGCCTAGGACTTAGAAGATTTTCATCAGATCCTTTGGGAGGGAGCTGGTTTAGAAAAAGTGAACTGGTACTTAAGGATTCCAACCATTCTTTTATCTACAGAGACCTAAAGAAGTTTCTCAGGAGGTGGATGAGGCGCTATTTTGGGAGGACTCTCATGTCTCTGCTCCTCTCACCTCACTCCCAACCCTGTTGCTTCCTAGGTTTGCTCAGGCAGCTGCTGAAGTATGATCTCTTCGTGTCCATGATCATGAACAAGTTCATACTGGCAGGAAATGCTGAGAGTGTCGAGGGACCATTAGGAGAGACCTCACTGCCTTTGGTGCTCAAAAAGGTAGTTGTCTTATGATTTTTTTTTTTCCAGTACAGGGGATTGAACTCAGGGCCTATGCACTGAGCTACATCTCCTGTCTTGTGATTCTTGGTCTCTAGGTTCAATAACAAGAGAATGAACCCAAGTGCTTCCTGGGCCTGTTCTTATCTGCCACTCTTTGTATCTCAGGTTTCCAAAAGTGTTTTCTTACTAGCCAAAATAATATGGTATTAGGCCAGCCATGGTGGCACATGCCTGTAACCCCAGCACTGGGAAGACTGAGACAGGAGGATCACTGCGAGTTCGAAGGCAGCCTGGGTGTACATAGTGAGTTCAAGTCCAGCCTGAAACACATAGTGAGACCTTGTCTCAAAGAAAAACAAAACACAAAAATCCAACTAAAAAACCAGCTCTGAAATTGGGAAGTATTTTACTATCAATGGTGTGTCATAATCTTTTTGGAAGGTAGTTTTCTGACAGGGTCTTGCTATGTAGTTCAAGCTGGCCTTGAACTCACTGTTTAGCCCAGGCTGGGCTTGAAGTCACTGCGATCCTCCTGCCTCAGCCTCCCAAGTGCTGGAATCATAGGTGTGTGCCACCACACCTGGCAGTGTGTCATAATTTAATTGGTACATATTATAATACTTTGTCTTACATCAATAGTATCTTAGTGTAAAATACAGTATGTTATTTCGGTTAGAAAAGAGAACAAGATAAAAATATCTGAACTTTACACACAAATGGAAAGGCTGTTTATCGACTTGCAAATCTGATGTGGCTGAGATAGTTTAACCCTGCAGTCATCAGATGGTTCTCTCCCGGACATGAGTGTGACTTGGTCTTTTTCCTTTGATGCTCTAAAACCAAGCACTCTCTTCCTTTATGTCCTATTGGGCATTTACCCACAACTATCAGTTTCTATGATACTTATAATCTGTGGTTGCTATTAATTCTTTATTTGATTTCTAAAAGTGTTATGAGTTCTCCTAATGGCTGTGGAGTCCAGTAGGGATTTGGATGTTATTCAGAATGCAATAAAAATTCATTGAGATGTTTTGAATAGAAGAATAACCTGTTCTATCTTTTCTTTTTTGAATACTGGGGATTGAACCCAGGGCCTTCACACTGACCTGTGTCCCTAAATCCCCTTTTTATTTTTTATTTGAGGCAAGATCTCACTAAGTCAATAAGTTGCCCAAGCTGGGCTAGAACTTGTGATCCTCCTGCCTCAGCCTCCCAGAGTGCTGGGATTGCAAGCATGTATCACCATGCCTAGGCTGATCTAAAATTTTAACGGGGGAAAAATAAAATTTTAATGGGGAGTTATCTTAGTTGGGGGAAGACTCCTAGATATGGACTTGGTTGACCTAGGTTTATGCCATAGATTTGGCATTTTTTAGCTGTGTGATGTGGAGTAATTTAACCTTGAGAAGGGTCCCCAAGACCACCCCAGGTTTTTTTTTTTTTGTACCAGAGATCGAACTCAGGACCTTGCGCTTTCAAGGCAGGTGCAATGCCACTGTGCTAAATTCCCGGCCTGACCCCCAGGTTTGATGATTCTCTGTGAGGACTCACAGGATTCAGCATATAGTCATTCTCGTGGTAATGACACATTACAGTGAAAGGATACAAAGAAGAATTGGCAAAGAGCAAAGGCACATGTTCTAGGGGAAACCAGGTACAAGTTTCCAGAGACCTCTTCCTTTGGGTCACACAAGGTTGTCTGTAATTCCTGCAGCAATGTGTTGTGACAACATGTGTGAAACATGGCCCAATAGGGAAGCTCATTAGAGTTTTGATGGCCAGAGTTTTTCCTGGGGGCTGGTTGGTCATGAAGGTGCCCTCTGTGTAGCACATCCTCAAGTTCTAGACTCCCAGAAGAAAAGCAGGTGTAGCACACAGTCTACATTGTACAAAAAGTTTAGTCATGGCACTCTCATCAATTCTGGGCACTGTAGGAACCCTCCTGAAATCTAAGCTCCCAAACCCAGCCAAGGCCCCGTGTTGTATAGGCCTTTCTAAGGAAAAAAGCCTCAGGCTTGCTATGTTAACTCTTTTTTTATACATTCAGAAAGTGAAAATCACAATGGAACCTTCTCATGTTATGTCACAGAATTGTTGAAAATAGTAAGCCCAGATGAGAGTTGTGAAAGTACTTTTGTCACATAAAGTCCTGAGTACTGCTTAATGGTAGTTTTGGTGTTTTTGAGTGTCATGGGTGGATTTTACATTATGTTCTTTTATTCCATTTCTTACCTGTACTGTTCGCAGATACTCCTTTCCATGATCCATAACTCTCCCTCGTGTGGTATTCTTGCCTGGTGCTGAGTAGGGAGGGATCAGAGATGAATTAGACTCAGGCCAGGTCCTCTGGTCCTGTAAGTGAGGTGACTGGGGTGCTTTCTGCTGCTGTTTTTCCAGTTTCTTCTCTCTAGAGACGAGTCCCTGCAGGTGGCCAGTACCCAGTGTATAACTTCAGTGCTGGTCCACTCCCCGGTGAAGCATGCCGCGGCCTTCATCCATGCTGACATCCCAGGTAGGGGGGTCCCCTGACCTCCTCTTCTGAGGACCCCAGAGTTCTGCTTGGATTCCTGAGAGGTCACAGCGGTACCAGCAGCCCTGTCTGGGAAACTTTGATAACTCACACTGCAGGGAAGGGGGTGCAGACAGGGCCATTATGTGAAGTAAGCTTCATAATGTCCACATCCTCTGGCGTCAGACGTTTGTATGACTTTAAGCAATTTTTTACTGATCTTTGTATATTTTTTACCCTCCAGGAGTAAAATCTTAGTGTTAGGTGGGGGAAGGGTCTGGAGATTAGGAAGCCAAAAGAAACTAATGTTTCCTCAAGGCCTGTTAGGAGCCAGGAAACGTACCCTGAGATACTTGTAAGTGTTGCCACATTTAGGTCCTCATCTTTGTTGGCTATGTTTTTTGTGGTGCTGGGGATCAAACTCAGGATCTTGTGCTCACTTCAGGGGCACATATACTAAAAACCTAGGACCTTGCTCATGGTAAGCACTCTACCCCATGGATCTGTATTCCCAGCCCATCTTTGTTATTTTATAAATAATGAAATTGATTTTTTAAAGAAAAGACACAAATGTATTATGTACATGGAGGCAGTGAATTACCTGTCAGCCTAATATGATTATATACCAACTTTTCTATGGGAACTATGGGCATATGGAGTTTTGAAGGGAAAAAAACTGGTTCAAATATATAAGGCTAGTTATTGGCAGAGACAGGATATAAAATCAGGTTTCTCCAACTCTAAAAACTTTTTTTTCTGCATCATTCTGCTGCCCATCCTAAGAATTAGAAGATCTAAATTCCAGACCTACTTCTGCTAGTAAACTGCCTCTCTGGGTACCAATTTCTTCATCTGCAAAAAGAATTTAGATCAGACACTGAGGGCATTTCCCAGATTTATCTGTGAATTAATGATCATGTCTTAAGAGAGGCTGTATGAACAGAAGTATCAGGAGTAAGATGCTGAATAAATCTAAGTCCCTTTTACATCAATTAAAGGACTGTGATCTCAGAGCTATCATTGTTTCCTCCCCCTTTTGCCGTCCAGAGTTCATCTTTGAGCATCTTTCCTCTTCCAACGAAGTGCTTGTCTGGTCCAGCTACAACTGCTTGATACTCCTGGTGGAAGAGCCACTCTTCTTTTCCAAGTGCCACACAGTGTATGGTTGGTAGCACGGCTCCTGTGGGGGCTCTGGGTCTGATGGAGGAGTTAGAAATTGGGTAGCAGCTGCAGTGATACAGGCTGGCCTCCACCTTGGAGGGGAGTGCTGGGTCTGGACATTCCCATTAGTCAAGACTCTTTACCAGGCTATTGTGTCTCTTCATGGTAGGCCACCCTATGCTGAAGGGTGTATTATTTTTTATTTCTTTCTCCCTTTTTCCTACTTTTACTCAGCCCAAACTCACTCTTCAGACCTTGTTTGTTCCTACCTTTAATAAATGTTAAACTTTGCCACCATTAAAAAAAAACACAACTCATTACCAGATTCCATATGTAAGCACTGATATCCAAATGGCTCTGCTGTCACTGATTAGCAGAAATATATGTATTTAGACTCTTTAGGAAGGAAAGGGCATTCTTATTAACTGCTTAACAAATTCCTATTGCACATTAAGGACAACTCTAACCAGTGGTGCCTGGCCTTGGGCTTACTCTTAACAGCTCCCAATAGCTGTGCATATATCTAGTTACTTCCTAAATTTTGTTAATTTATCATTTCAAAGTTTCTTGGAGATGGGCATAGTGACACATACTTTTAACCCCAGCACTCTGGGAGGCAGGAAGATTACAAGATCGAGCCTAGCCTGAGCAATTTAGTAAGATTTTCTCTCAAAAAAAAAAAAAAATGCTGGGGATATAGCTCCGAGTAAAGGCCTTGGATTCAGTCACCAGTATCTGGTCTCTGGTGTGTCATCCTGAAATAGGGATCGAGGCGGTAGTGAGGAGCCTTCAGGGAAGCCTAAAGATGACCAACACAGAGCTACACAAGCAGGGCCTGCTGCTCTTTGCTGAGATCTTGACCCGGTAAGCAAAGTGACAGATTATCAGGCCTGCTGGGGCCAGACTGGAGGAGAAAAAGTGAGCTTTTATTCCTGGTGATAGGAATTCACCCACTTGCTTCTCATCTACCACTACCTAGGCAGCCGGAGGAGATCCGGTTGTTCACAAGCTCAGCCATGTGTGGAGATGCTGCCCATACCCTCCAGGAGGCAGTGAGCAGCCCTGTGCTGGAGGTGGCTGGTGAAGCAGTGAAGGCTACTTCCGCTTTTCTGAGGTGAGAGACCCCAGAGAGCTGAACTTTCTCCCCTGCATGTACCTGAGGGCCTGCCAAGGCCAGGCAGTGTCAGGGACATTTTCTTTTTCCTTTTTTTTTTGACATTTTATTGAAGTATTTATTTTTCTCTACTGTATTTACTCTGTTATTATTTTAAATTAAAACAAATTTATTGCTTATTAGTTATACAGACTAGCAGCTTTTATTTTGGTATATTCATACTCTGTTCTCTCTGGAACTGCCATTTATGTGTTGGGCATCCTGGATTGGCCATCTAATTTTATTTTCTGACCATTTTTTCATCCTTTTGTCACTATGTGCTAACTTCTGGTAGATTTTCTTGACTTTATGTTTCGACCTTTCTGAAATGCTTTAATATTTTGCTGTATAATTTCTTTTTTTTATTTTTTATTTTTATTTTTATATTTTTGCTGTATAATTTCCATAGATCACTTGTTACAAACTGTTTCCACAGATGATAGTATAATCAACATTTAAAATCATAGCCTGGTGTGATGGCACACGCTTGTAATCCTCACCCTCTGAGAGACAGGAGGATTGCAAGTTTGAGTCCAGCCCAAACAGCATAGCAAGATCCTGTCTCAAATCAAAAAATGAGAGCTTTGCTTAGTGTACAGATTCTAGGTTCCATCCTCAGTACAGTCTTCCTGTCCATCACAATTCTGGGTTTTTTCTCATATTTGTATTGACCCTGTGACTCAATGCATTCCTTGGTCATGGAAAGCTTTAGCTTCAGTGTCTACCTGAACATAATCTTCAAGAAAAAGCTCCTTTCAAAGACCTAGGAGAATCCAATGGTAGTGACAAGCTGCTTAAGACACAGAGGTTGCCCTTGCCTGTGGCCTGTACTGCGCATCCAGGACTCAGGTAGAACTCCCAGCCCCTTATATGAATCAGAATCGCTGCCCAGGGCTTTGGAGTCACAGCCATCTTGCTAGTTGTAGCTGCATCCACTATGAAGACTCAGCAATGAGCCTTTAAAAACTACAGAGATCATTCCAAAACTCAACCGAGACTTATTTCATTCTCTTTTCTGACAGGGTACTGTGCCATTAGGCCCGGAATTGGCCAATTGTGGAATTAGCAGATATTTTTCAGAAATTTTAGATTTAGTTCAGTTTGGGTCCTACATACTTCTCTTTGTGCTGTACTTTCTCTAGTCTTGATTTAATAATATGTTTCGACCTTTCTGTTGAATGTTTTAGATCTGCTTTCATATTTTTAATTTGGAAGAGCTCCTTCTAATTCTCTGATGTTTATTTTTATAGCATTTTATTACATATTTATTTCATGGATGTAAATTTTTCTCTCTCTGAGGAGAGTTTTACTGAAGTATTCACTTTTCTTCATAGTTTCCTTTAAGTTGATTGTTTGTATTTTTGTCTCTTTCATTTGGGGAGCTTTTCTCAGAAGTCTGATGATCTTTGTCTTTTCATACTTAAAGATGAGACACTACAAAGCTCATGGGAAATTGTTTGCATGATGCTTGTCTGCTGTTGCCTTCACTGAGGAAGAGCTAGCTGGACCTTTTCCTTGGGTTAACCCTGATGTGAAGATCTGTAGTTCTCCCCTCAGGCTGGCCAGCTTATGAGAGGACTCTCCAGGCTCCTGTTTGGAGGAAGTCAGCTTAGGAGTTTTGGGAGCTCAATGGGCTTCTCGGAATTCACAATGCAGACTTCACTTACTCCCCTGATTTTGGATAGGTATCTCCTGTATGAACAATCCTGAAGCCCTCTGTCTGACCTTCAGGAAACAAGTCTCCAGTCTCCTGCTCAGGTTTGGGGAAGGTTAGGTGCTTTGTTATATAGAATTTCAGGGAGGGAGTCAGGGATCCAATTGCTCTTAAGCAAATTTGGGACCAGTTTTTTGCATTAGACTTTACTCCCACTTCCAGATTTACTTGGTGCCACTAATTCTTCTGCCTCTGGTGGGGATGTGTTCTTAGGGAAAATAAGGTTACTTTTTGGTTTCCCACTGCTGGCTTAGGATTCTGCTTTCATAGAGCTGCCAGGGCAGTTACTTCCAAAGTGCTATGTTTTAGATTTATATATTTTTTTAATTTCCTTTATTTTCATTTTGGTAAAGAGAGGCAGAGGCACCTGTTGGGTCCATCATCTTTACCCATAAGTTGGCAAATCCATTTTTTTTTTTTTAGTTTTTCTGACACAGGATCTCACTTTGTTGTTTAGGCTGGCCTTGAACTCACAGCAATTTTCTCCTGCCTCAGCCTCCTAAATGCTGGGATTATAGGCATGCACTACCATGCCAGAAAGAAGTTGGCAATTCTTTAATATCTTCTAGTCCTGGTTCTCTTGGTGTAGCTTCTGCTTTCATGCTGTCATCCGCTCACAGAGCTTTAGTTACTAAATATGTGCTCATGGTGCCCCATTAATTTCCTGTTGTCACAAATTGAGGGGCTTAAAACAACAAAAATGTATGCTTTCATGGTTCTGGACAACCATGAAAAATCAATACTGCTGAGCTGAAATCAAGGTGTCAGCAGGGTCACACTTGTATTAGAGGCTCTAGAGGAAAATTTTTCCTTGGCTCTTAGAGCTGCTGGTGGCTCTAGGGGTTACTGGGCTTGTGGATGTCACTGTACCATGATCATGTTGGCTTCTCTGTGTATGTATCTGATCTTCCTCGCCTCTTGCTTGTAGATCTTCCTCTCATTTTAAAAATCTTTAATCATATCTGTGAGGCCTTTACCATAGAAAGTATCTTCACAGGTTCCAGGAATTAAGACCTTATACCTTTAGGTGCCACTAAAGTATTTTCCTGAGCTTTCCAATTGCCTGGTGCCTTGTACCAGAAACTTCAAACTCAGTCTCTCTGTGTGCTTCCAGCAGGTACAGGAAAGACACTAAGTTTGAGATATAAAAAAAAAAATTGTGGTACTGGAGATCGAACTCAGGGCCTTCACACTGAGCTACATCTCCAGCCCTTTAAAAAAATATATTTTTAAGACAAGGTCTTGCTAAATTGCCCAAGCTGGCCTTGAACTTACAATCCTCCCGCTTCAAGCTCACATGGTGCTGGGATTACAGGTATGCATCACCATGCCTGTCTTCATTTGAGATTTAAAGAATGGGGTTTGAGTCCTTGATTCCATAATTGGTACTCAGTCAAGTCTTATCCATGTCTTTGGTCTTCTTTCTGTTTTTTAAGCATACCAAGCTTATTTCTTTGGTTCGACCTTTCTGTTCATGGTTTCCTCTGCCTAAAATGGTCTTCCCTTAAATCTCTGTGTGGCTGGCTTTTTCCTATGGTTCAAGTCTCATTCGGAATGTCCTTTACCTGACAAGCCACAGCATCTAGCCAGCCCCTGAGAGTTCATGTTTACTTACTTGTTTTGTGTCTCCTCCCTCCTGCTAAAATATAAATTTCAGACTGGAGATTTAGCTCAGTGGTTTTGCCACCTGCTTCGCAAGCACAAGGACCTGAGTTTGATCCCCGGTACCAAAAAATAAATAAATGAATAAATAAAATTCAAATCAGGGATCTTGTCAGTTTTTTTTGTTTTGTTTTATCTCTTGTTCCTAATAGGTAGTCAGTATATAAATAAACGATGTTAAAATGGATGGTGAGATTAAGAGATCTTAGAGCCAAGATGGGAAATTTGATGCTTGAAACCTTGACAAAATAACTGAGGAAATTTGTACTTATTTTGTTGCCTTGTGTTCTCAACTTTTGTTTCCTATGTTTTTATTTTACGTTTCTAACAGTAGTATATTCAAATAATAAAAACCAAAATAGAACAGAGGGTTTTTATATGAAAGGAATAGCCCTCTAACCCTGTTTCTACTTCCTAAAGGAAACAAATTTTAACTCACTTTGGTTTAGTTCTGGTGATTATCTCCCTAAGTCTAAATAATATATTTATAATACTTTTTCTGTGTATATAGTACTGGGGATTGAATCCAGGGCCTTAACACTGAGCTACATTCCCAGCTCTTTTTAATTTTAACTTTTTAATTTTTATTGTTTGGTACCAGGGATCGAACTCGGGTCCTTCTGTTTGCGAGGCAGGTGGTGGAACCACTGAGCTAAATCCCTGGCACCTATTAGTTTTTAATTTTTATTTTTTGTTCCAGGGATCAAACAGCCCTTTTTTATTTTGACACTGGGTCTCACTAAATTGCCCAGGTTGGATTTGAGCTTGTAGTCCTCCTGCTTCAACCTCCTAAATGCTGGGATTGCAGGCATGTGCTACCCCAGCCAGCTCTACTGTTTCTTTATCAGTTTAAGACATTATTTTTTTGGGGGGGGTACCGGGGATCGAACTTGGGTCCTTGCGCTTGCTTGCACAGCAGGCGGCGAAACCACTGAGCTAAATCCCTGGCCCCAGTTTAAGACATTCTTAATTGACCTGTCAGTAAGAAAGATCAAAATTTAATTAGCTCATATTTTTTGTCATTTCTTCATCTCCTTGGGATTTTTGCTAGTTAATGTTTTATCTCTTTAACCCATTGAATAATATACTTAAAACTGTGTTTCCTGCTTCCTCAAGTTGAATCAGTAACTCTGGATTCCCATTCACATAGCACCACCTGGCTCTTTCATTTCCCTCCCTTCTCCTTCTACTTCTCAAGGTCAGTCAGCTGTATTTTACTTTTACAACATAAAGGTTGTTAATATTTATAGGCTCTTTTGTAACCATATTTAGGTCTTCATCATTTGACTCCAGATTGGCTCTAAAAATTAAAAGGAAAAATAGCATTTACATGACAGTGACTTCAATTTGTCTCCTTTCTCCCTTTGTTCTTCCGTGGACTTGAATCTCTAAATCTAGAGTCTGAATCCCAGGGTGGGTGAGATAAGTAAACCAACAGGGTCCCGAGAGCGTAGAGTAAGAGAGAGCTGAAAAGCTCCCAGTGGGCGGGTGTGGAGAAGGCCAGGAGCACCTTTCAGGCAGGTGCTGGTAGTTTTGCTGTGCTAGGAGGCATGAAGGAGGTGTGGGTTTGTAGAAGGACAGCAGGGTTAGCAGAAACATATGGTGGGGAAGGATAGGGGTTACTGAGGGTACAGTGTCCTGTCCAGCCAGCAGGTTACATGAAGGCCAGTAGTGCCTGAAGAAGCTGGAAAGCTAGATGGTTCAGAATTGTGCAGAGACATGGGAAGGGGGTGGGTTATTTTACTTTCGACTTTAACTCTCCAGAATGTTTACTGAGGTGATGGTCCCTCTGACTGCAGTGGATCAGAAGGTGTCTAGGAAGAACAACTAAAAGGAAGAATGATGAGTGGGGGCTGCTGAAGAAAAGTTAAAGATGATGGAACCAGGGCTTGATGATCACTGAAGGATAGAAACTTAGCGTTTCCAAGTTGGGCATGGTGGTACGTTCCTGTAATCCTGGCTACTTGAGAGACTGAAGCTGGAGGATTGAGCATAGTAGTTCAAAACCAGCCTGGGTAATGTAGGGAGACCCCCTTCTCAAAGAGCGGGAGGGAGGGGCCAGGGATTTAGCTCAGTGGTTCTGGCACCTGCCTGGAAAGTGCAAGGTCCCGAGTTTGACCCCCGGTACCAAAAAAAACAAAAATAAAAACAAAAAAATGAGAGGGAAGGCCTAAAGGCCAGCTGGCCTAACTTTGAGCTTCCAGGAATGAAGAAGGAAAAGAGCAATCAAGCTTAAACTTTATATAGTTGACGAAAAACCTGTTAGAAAGTCTAGCAGACTATTCAGTATTCCAAAAGGGCCTAGGGATAAGGGTTAATAGCTTTCTTTAGTTGCTATACTCTATGTTTGGAGCTACCACACCGCCCCTCTTTGCCTGAGAGCCTTGAAGGTTTGGGGGGATGTCTTACCTTCCCCTGAGCCTGTTCTTGTTTCTCTGGATGCAGGAAGGACCATCAGAGTACTCCACCTGTGCAGTACACAGCACTGAGGGCCTTGCTGGAAGCCATGCTGAGCCGGTGTACAGAGTTTTCCCAGACCTCGATGAACGTGAGGGCTTCGGTCAGTGTACTGCAGGCTGCTTTGTCTGAAGTCCTTGTTCTGCTGTATTTTTAGAAAGATGAACAGTATATTGCCTTACCATCATATCCCATTTTATAGTTTTTTTCTCAAGCACAGGCACCTACAATGAGATGTTATTTTTTCCTAACTGCATTATTATGAGGCTTAAAGGTTATTATCTTCATTTGTGTAGATGAAACTGAAGCCACAGGGTTTAAATAATTTTTCTCTAAGATCCAAAATTAGCAAGTACTTGAGCCTGGTTATTAAATCCCAAGGTGTTTGTACCCAAACCTATTTCATACTATACTTTGTTCCTTTATATCATCCAAGGAGGTATAGTAAACATGCTCATAAAATTTAGGCTGGATTTGTTAGAAACTTAGAAAGAATTTGACCAATATGTACTCTATTGTAATCATTGGCTTATAATGGCCCATAGATTTAAGATATCAGAAAAGATACTGTCAGTGTGAATGTTGATTATATCTTTCAGGATGAAAATCTTCATACCTGATAAGATGGGGATTTCCTTGTGTTTCAGACCAATAATATGGACATTATAGCCAGATAGGCTAATGTCCACTAGCCTGTGACAGACTTCTCCATACAGTAGATCAAGAGCCAGTCCTGTGGTTCTCAGGGAAATAGGAGGTTAAGATTTCACCCTCTACTATTTTTAAAAAGCTACCCTATTAGATTTGTGAGGATATCACCAAGATTCCCTGGAAAGTTAAATGTTTATGACTGGCAGAGTTGGAGGTCTGTAGTCATCCAAGCATAGAAGGGGACACATAGCAGGTACTGAGCCCATAGGTTCCTCTCTCTTTCTAACCTCAGGGCCATCCCTGCAGTAGAGAGTCAGAGAAGGCCATCCTTCGAAGGGGAAAGTTCCTCCTGAGCACTCTGGAAGGGTTTAAAAATGCCTGCAGGTGAGGAATCCTCTGTGGTCTAAGGGAATAGCAAGGAGGGGAGGCATGGGAGGGATTCAGACAAAGAATAATGCTCTAAGAGTGGCACCTGATTTCTGATACTCTGATGCATACTGAGAGGACTTTGGCTAGGGCTGGGTTGAGGTTGTGGCTGGGATTTTTTTTGTTTTTGGTACTGGGGATTGAACTCTGGACCTTGTGCTTGCAAGGCAGGTGCCGGAACCACTGAGCTAAATCCCCGGCCCTGTGGGTGGGATTTTTGAGGACAGGTAACTGAGGGTAGGATGTTTCTAAAGATTCCATCCTGATGAAGTTTTTGCTACTGTGCCATGAAGTTGTGTCTCATTCACTTCTGTTCCTTCCTGCAGCTAGCCTTGCACATAGCTAGTCATTGCACACAGCTCATATTAACAGATTTTTTTCCCCCAGTACCAGGAATCAAACTCAGGACCTTGCACTTGTGAAGCAGGTGTGGTGCCACTGAGCTGAATCCCTGCCCCTAACAGATGTTTGTTATATCTGTTGTATGCCAGGCCTGATGCTAGCCAGAGAGGGTAGAGAGATAAGTCAGAACTACACTTGCCCACAAGGAGTTCACAGTCTCTTGGGGAAGAGACAGTTTTGATTATATCTGTGGAATTTGTTGAGTTGTCAAGAATCCAGGGAGAGAAAGCAGCATAGGAGAAGGCAGAGATAGGTAAAACAGGACACATGGTAGTAGAAGAGTCATATATGATGGGGGAGCATGAGACTGGAGGGATAGTCAAGGACCTTGTCTCACTGACGCCTTAAATTTTCTTCAGATCTGATGGTGGGGTACTTTCCATGGATTCTGAGCTCAGACATACACTAGGCTGGTGCTTCTTACCCTTATGTTGTGTGAGTGGTGATGGCCGCACTCTTATGCTGATTTCTCAGGTTGGCTGTGGAATTCCAGGATGAGCCTTTGGCCCAGGAGAATCCCTTCACAGCTCCCAGCGCCGAGAAAGAAGACACCTTGGAGGGCTTCTCAGAATTTCTTCTTAGTGCCTGTGACTCCCTGTGTATCCCCATGGTGATGGTGGGTTCCCCTGAGCTATGGGCAGCGTGAAGCTTGGGGAAGAGAAGAATGTGTATGTGAGCAGGCCAGAGGCATGAGGCAACAACTACTCAACCGGCCCTTGAGGCCTGAGCCATGTTATTCTTTCAGCCACATTTCCTTTGGTTTTAAAAATAAAGTGTAGTGTTTCATTATAAAACTAATAGATGCTTCTGAAGAAATGTAGAAAGCAGTAACAATAAAATAATAAAAAGGTAATGTTTATGATATGATGAATGCCTTATATTCATTGCCTAATTTTATCTTCCATATATGAGAAATCTTGGTAGAATTTCCTCTATTTTTTCTTTTCTTTGTTTTATTTTGGTTCTGGGAATCAAATCCAGGCCCCTGCAGATGATAAGTAAGCATTTTACCATTGAGTTACATCAGTATCCCCTTACTTAGTTTTTAGGTGAGGTTGTCCTGTCCTATCATTACAAGCAAGTGCATGACAGTCCTGAGATTAAATCCGAGGCTCTAGTTCCCAAGCTGTTCTTCTGTCTTTCTGCTGAATTATGAGCAGCAGTGAATGTTTGTGCCCAGACTTCAGTGAGGAACATGTATGAGTATTCTGTGAAATGAGCGATGACCACTCTGAAGAGAGACCTGGTTCTGCAGAGCTTTGTTTGGAGCCAACTTGAAATGGTAGGAAGTGCAGTACCCACAGCTCTTGATGCCAGGGTCACCTGGAGTCCTTTCCTACTTGAGGTTTGGGCATCCTGTGAGCCTGTGAAGAGTCCATTAGTTGGGGAAAAGTATCTCCTAAACACTTACTGGGAATGGTAGGTGGCAGCAGAGAAGCACCCTAACTCTGCTAAAGAGGCCTCTTTCCTTGAATGGCGCACCAGGATCTGCTGTGGCCCTGACACTAATAGTGATTCACGTCAGTTGCCTCATCTGCTCTGCCTTCTCCTAGACTTGTGGAGTGTTAGAATTAGTCCTAGAAGTAGATCGTAGAAAAATTATATTATTCCTGCTTTCTACTTTTCTATATTTTATACATTTTCTTTAATGAGGATATATTACTTCTATAGTAATAATTTTTTTAAAAGTTGGTTTAAAATCCCAAGCAGTGATGAGTACAAGAACGATAGCTCTGAGGCCTTAGCTATTCATTTAGGGAACTGAGACCCAGAGAGGGGAGGAGGTGGCCAACGAAGGGCACATCAGTGTGGCTCTGTATAGGTGCAAATTAGAACCTACTTTTCTTTACTCTTAACTCATGGCTGTTGTATCAGGCTGCCCAATGACTTTGTTCAAGGACCACAGGGATAATAAATGTGAAGGTAGTTTATAAAAGGTATTATTACTGTATTATTATTACTAATTATAATAGAAACACAAGTATCATGTTAAGTTATGGTTTAGAAATCATTTTTTACCCATCAGGCGTCATTTGTTTCTGGGAGGTAGATCTTGCTATTCTCATTTTACTATTCTTTGAATAGAGGCCTGGGAAGGTCATACCTCTGGTATAACCCTAGTGGCAGATGCAAGCCTTAGATGTAGGTTTGTGACTTTAGACACCCTAGCTTTTCTTGTACCCTTCAAATGAAAGGATTGGTCTACTGTTGCTGAATTTGATGTTACTTTTTGCAGATGGTTTTTCTTCTTCAGAGGCTCAGTCCAGGTGGGCTGTGTTCTCCCTTCTGATTCTTTCAGAGGTACTTGGAGCAGACCATCCACCCAGGCTTGATGGAAGTTTTCCTCTCGATTCTGTGCAGCCTCTTTGTCATCGTCCCCCACATGAAGGAGAAGTTCTCTAAGAAGCTTGGTAGGCAGCAGGCCAGTATGGAAGGTGGGAGGAAGGAAGTACTATATGTAGTGGCTCAGAGTGATCAAAGAAAGGAGGAGCCCTATGTGATGGTTATGTATTGGTCAGAATCTATATTCATTCTCTGTCCAGTGTTGAGTGGAAATATGCAGCAATCAAAAGCCAGTAGGGCTGTCCCGAAGTCTAGGAGGCTGGAATTTAGTGTCCACAACATGCTCTCATACTCTATTCTTGAGACTTCACATGGTGTTTAGTATCTCTGACTCCTGAGCACTGAGTGCCAAATTATCCCTGGTCATTGTAACAACTGAAAAATTTGCCCTCATACTTCCAAGTGCCTTCCAGGGGAGCAGTGGCACTCTGAAATCTACTGTCAAGCGTCTTTTGTTGTTCCTTTCTAAACTTGAATCTGGTGGCTTTTGATTCAACCTTCTCTAGACCTTCTTGGATATTTTTCTTTTTTTCCTCTTAACTCTTACTAGTCATTTTTTTCCTTTTCCAGTTTTTAATCTTATAAACAGCTCAGTCTGCAGAGTAAGGACAAGAATCAAAATGTCCTTTATCCTCCTTAGAAAGTGGCAGTGATTGACCAGGTGTAGTGGTGCACACCTGTAATCCCAGAACTCCGAAGGCTGAGGAAGGGGGATCTCCACAAGTTTGAGTCCAACCTGGGCTGCACAGTGAGTTCAAGGTCAGGCTGAACTACATTGAGTGAGAGCCCTGTCTTAAAACAAAACAAAAAAAAAGAAAAGAAAGTGGCAGTAATCTTTCTTTTCCCTCTTCCCCCTGTTCTTTACTGCCTCTTCCCTTTCTTTCCTTCTTTCTTTCATTGTAAATTGTTAACTAGGGATGCCAAGCAGTCTTGGTTCAATGGCTAAACCTCTTATTATATTACAGTATAATGCTGATCTCAACCTGGTCTCTACACCAGGGAATAAACAGACTTGAAAAAACTGTTATAATGATCAAAAAAAGAAAGCAAGAAAGTAGCAGCGATGGTGAAAATGGAAAGAGGGAGTGGTGAGAAGTGTCAGGTATGTTCCAGAGGTCAAGGAAGATGAAGTTTTTGAAAAGTGTCCATTGGACTCCACATCGTGGAAGCTCTCAGCCACCTTGACTGGAGCAGTTTCTGTGGAGTGATGGGAGTGAGCCCAGACCACAGTGAGTTGAAGGATGAGTGCCAGGAGGGGCAGCAGAGACAGTATGATACCTCTTTTGATAAATTTTGTGGGAAATGGAGGAGTGATGCAGGGGAATTGGAGTTAGGGAGAGTTTTCTTATCCGCTGAGATTAGAAGCACTTAACCTGATGGGCTGTTGTTAGGAAGAGCAATAGAGACCTGTTGCTAGTCCACGTGGTTTGGAATTCTTGCCCCATCACTTATTTATTGACATCGGGCAAATTCATTTTCTCATCCCTAGTGCCTTTAGCTAGAGCATGGTCATAATAATAAAAATTAAATGAGACAATGTATATAAACTTCCTGAATAACTGTACTGCTCAGCCATTGTGAAAGCAGACACATTGTACTTTTCCTTCTTTCCAACATATTTCCTGTTATCATACTTTAAGATCCAGGAGGATCCAGTCTTGGGGTACTGGATGGGATGCAGAAGTGTGGATCTCTAGAGGGCAGTGGTGGGGAGCAGAGGTTGTAGTGAATGGCTGAGAGATCTATAGGGAAATCTGTAGGGCACAAAGCCAGGTAGAGCAGGATCAGATGCTCACACTGCAAGAGGGAAGAGAGAAGCAGTAACTGCCAGCAAAGGGGGAATAAAGACCTGCTGTGAAGAAACTCCTGCTGTCTTCCTGTCTAGGACCCTTCTTTATAGCAGCAGGGGTCAAGCAGAAGTCAGTATTAACAGCCAGCCTTAGTGAAGAGACTAAGAGGGTCCAGGCAGTGGAGGGGCCTGTGCTAGGGTCGCCTCTAGTCTGAGAACCAGTCTCCTTTCTACACACAATTCAGGGATAGATATATTGTAACTTCTCCTATTTATGAATCTGAAACTGCACTATTTTCTGCAAAACTGGGAGAAAAGGTGTAAGTGACATATAGGTCCTTCCTAGGGGTGGAAGATAATTCAGAAAGGAAGGAGATGAACTTTTCCCCCTCAGTGCTGGGGTTTGAACCCAGGCAGCACTGAGCTGTATTCTCCAACCCTTTTCTTTCTTTCTTTTTATTTATTTATTTATTTATTTATTTATTTAT